TGTGTACACACATTTATAGTTAGTAACTGGCTGCCTGCCTTTCTAAGCTCTCCCAGTCTCTCTGTCTTTCCTCCCCCCCCCTCTTTGATCCCACATGGCCGGGTAGGCCTGGGAGCTGATGCTGTCTGGATTGGGGAGGGGGGCACAAGAAAGGCTGTGGTGATTTTTACCTCTTCACTCAGTTAAAGAGGCAAAAGGAAGTGAGGGTGCTGTCAGGAGCCAGATGTTTGGGAGCCAGGAAGCTAGGAAAAGCCACAGAGGGATCTTGGGGTGGCCAGGTTGGAGCCTTTGACTAAGGGAAGCAACAGTGGGGTGGGGGCTTGGGGATAAGGACTGAAGCCCAATAAGCCCCTTTGTTCTTGTCTGAAACTTCACCCTCAAATTTTAGAGCCTCCCAATCTCATCCCATGCCGGATTCTTCTCAATCTCCTACAAGACTGTCCCTTCCATTAGCCATCTGGCCCCTGGGGGCCTAAAGTTGTACCCTGGAGGGGGCAGTGTCTGTACCCACATGGCTCTGTTCCTGTGGTCCTTTTTGTGTTGTCTATCTCTGTCCTTAGCTCTCTTTCCACCTCTGTCTCTGTCAATCAATGCCCAGTGCCTTAGCAGTCTAGTATCCTCATTGGGGTTGGGGGAGTGGGAGAAGGGGCTGAGGTTAGATCAGGGCCCCCTCCTGGGCCCCCCCAGCCCGGCCAGACTGGCCTCGCCTGCCATTGTTTACTGCTGCCTAGCTCCAAGGAAACTTAACCCGACACAGTAATTTTATTTGGGAACTTCCAGTGGTTACTATGGCAACTCCTAGTGACATCACAGGGGCTGAGATCCTGGGGGGAGATGGGGAAGAAGACCCCAGAAGGGCCCCTAGTTAACTCTGCATGTACCAGTCTCTGGGCTCAGCTTGGGATGGCAGCTGGGCCAACAGATGTGCTACCAGATGTGGTTCTGGAAGTTCTATGAATCTTCATAGATTTTCCCCAACCTCCGTAACCTGGGAAGTACCCTCTGGTAGCAGCTGGGACTTCCCCTTCTGATGGCCCCAGCCTGTTGCAGTGGTACTTTGGTAACTTTTGGGGCAGGAACCATCTGTCAATGAGTATTCTGGGTGGTGGTGAGTCAGCGTGCGGGTGGTGTGATGTGCAGGCATGGCAGGGGTGGGGGGCACTGAGCCCTATTCTCTCCTGACTCACCCTATGCCCTTGGTTAACGCCCAGCCACTGCCCTTCCCAGGGGATTCTTTGGGCCTGGCCACTGGGAATCTCAACAAAAATTCACTAGGGGCAGAGCTGGGTGGGTAGGGACTGGGGCCACATTGGGGCTTACGTACCCCTTATATGTCCCCTCATTACATTTGAGGCTGGGTCCTGAAATTCTGTCCCAGACCACCAAGGAAGTTTGGACCGGTAGCAAGAACACTAGCTATCAGTCCAAAGAAACCTCAAGGTAAAATGGGAAGAATCTAGAGCTCTTTGCCCCCAGCCAGTGCCTCTGGTCCCCTAGGGGGAACAGTGCATGAGCCAGACCCTTTTCCTTGTACTCTGAGATTCCAAGACCAGGGGTGGGGAAGCATAGGCCCAGGCATTTCCCGGATGTGGGGAGCGGCTGGGGATCCCAGAGTAGATCCATAACATGGCTGGTTACCGGGACAACAGGCAGGCATGGGCCCCTTGGCATGGAGAAAACCAAGGCTGTCAAGGCAGTGGGGGTGGGCAGGGAAGCCAGGCTGCAGTGCCTTCAGACTGGGCCATGGGCCCACTGCTGCTTCTCAGAGCAGCGATAACCACAGTGACGTAGGTCCACCAAGCTGACTTCCTAAACCCCAGCCTGTTTGATGTCTCTGTATGCAACGTTGCCATGGGGCCCGGCAGGCCTGTGTGTGTGTGGGGTGTGTGTGTGTGTGTATGTGTGTGTGTGTGTGAATGTGGTGTCTGAGTTCTGACCTGACACTCAAGGAGAGACAAGGGGATCCCTGGGGCCAAGGAGTGCTGGAGTCCCCTTTGATTTATCCCTCTCTTCCTGGAGTCTCAGCTAATGGCTTAGTGATGGCCAGTATACTAAATCTAGTGATACCTAGTGATGGCCAGTATAGTGGTTGGGGGTAGGCTGGGATGTAGGACAGAATGGCCACCTATAGGGCAGGTAGTGATGGAGGCAAAGAGGCTGTGAAGTGTCCTCCAGTGGAAACACTAATGGGGAGGAGGTTACCCAGGCATGGAGAGGTTCTGTAGGGTGAGCAAGGTTTAGCTAGTTAGCTACCTCAAACACAAAGATTGCAGCTTGTGCCTCTAATCTGCAGAGTTCATGTACTGGGGAAGGAGGGTGGTTCTAGATGGGGAGTGAGGAAATGGCAATGTAGTCCACAGGGACTCCAGACACCAAGCATGAAGGGGGAGATGGGGGAGGGAATAAGGGGAGCAGGTGAGAGGTGGGGCAGGTATGCCCTAGGGGCTGGGCCCCACCCTGTGTCGGGGAATTCTGTGCTATCCTCATTCTTCCCTCAGGCTTCTGGAGGCTGGATCTGCTCCCCATCATGCCCCAACCTGTTGGGCACTGCCTACCAGGCACAGCCACTTGCCCTGGGCCACCATGGCAGAGGGCACATGAGGGTTTTCATTTGGACCCCAAACCATCCTGTTCCAGCGTTCCCCTTTATGAAGGGGCTGCAGAATTCAATTTGCCAGGAGGAGGATAGAGGTTATCAGGTAGGCGAGATGCTATTAAGCTCAATGTCAGGGAGCTCTAGAAGAAAACCTGCATACATATGGTAGGGAGAAAGGGTCAGGCAGGGGTAACCAAGGCTATATCCTTCCCCCCCAAGACTATGGCATTCTCACCCTAGGGCAATGGTCTAAGTCCTCCATTTCTTAGGGCAACATGGTATCTCTGCTTCCTCCCATACAATTTCCTATTGTTGGTTCCTACAGTTTGGAGGGGGAGGGGAAGGAGAAAGGAAGATGAATCTATATTGATCATAACTGCTTTCCATTTAAACTTCAATTAAGCTGCCTCCTCATTAATCCCCAGGGCCCTCTAACCCCCCACCCCTTCACTCCTTCCACAGGAACCACCTTGGGTACTGTTCCTAGGGTCCCTGAGATGAGACAGGTAAGCTGATGGGTATGTCCTGATGGTACCTGAGAGTATCTCTTCTCTACCAGGATTCTGAATGTCCCTCCCCTGGCTTTAGAGCCTCCACCCCCACCTACCAACTGCCAACCTGAGTAACTTGGCTTCCTTGAAACAATGGTGCAGTTTTTCTACCCCACTACCCACAGGATAGGACACAAGGCTCTTGGAAGGCCTTCCCAGTATCAAGCCTGTGGCTTGTGAATGTCCTACAGGCTCTGGGATGGGGGGGGAGACAAAAGATTAGTAGGCTAATACAGAGATGGCTCTTGCTCTCCAAGGAGCCAGGGTGTGTAGTTGGGAGAAAAGAGAGGGACAGACTGTTGAAATAGAATGAGAGGGAAAAGAGAACACCAGGACTAGGTCCCACCGATACTTAGAATGGTGTCATGTCATCCAAAAAGCAGAGGGCCTGTGTTGGGCCAGAGGATCTGGCTCTGTTAACAATAACTTCTACTGGGCACTGAAGTTGTCCTTTGGTACCTAATGGAGACAGGGAGGTGACCCTGACTCTTGAGGACTGAGCTAGCTGAAGGGGAGCTCAGGAAGGTAGGGTTATCCAGTTTTGTTCCTTTTGAGTGCAGGTCTGGTGGTGGATCGTTATCTGAAAAACAGCTTAGCAAAATCTGTAGAATCTCATAAGAATGCTGCAGAGTGATGAATTTTTGGGTCATACAGCAGCTTCTATCTGCATTGGTGGAGAATGAACAAAATCACTGAACTATTCAAGAAGACTTTGGCTGTCACTTCACTCCTCTGAGCCTCAGTTTCTTCATCTGTAAAATGAAAGGGCTAGGACTAGATGGTCACTAAGGTGTCTTCCAAGTCTAGATTTATGGTCCTCAGCTTGTGAAATACCAGGTTGGATAAGAGGCTGAAGGTCCATTGGGACAGGTCAATTCAGGGCTCTACAGAATAAAAATTCCCCTTATCTATAGATTTCCCAGAATGCAAAAGGCTCCTGTCCACCATGCCCTGGTGACCTTTGAAGTCCTCAGCCCAGGGTGGACAGTGCCTATTTGAAGAGCAAGGAAACATGGGTTTCAGAAGTTGCCAGGGAAGAGCACTTCAGGGTTAAGAAAGGAGGAGCGACACCTGCCCCTAAAATTAACCACGACCATCCCCCAGTGGCAGGCCCTGAGGTCTGAGACAGTGGAAGATGCAGACCTAGGAAAAGAAGCACCTGGAAGCAGCTGGGGGAAGGAGAGAGTTGGAGGCAGGGAAAGAAATAGGGAAGAGCCAAAATAAGGGATAGCAAGTGGGACAGAGATGGTGTTAGAGATAGAGTTTGGGGCAGGGACAACAGAAACAGGAAAAAAGTTATAGGCAGTGATAGTTGCTGCAAAGGCAGGGAAAGAGTTGAAAGTGACAGAATTATCCCCAAGTAAGTGGGGAAAGAGGGACAAGGGCAGAGCTGGTGACAAAAGTAGCTGTGGTAGTTAGGGATCTGGAAAGAGTTGGCAGTTAGGACCTGGGAGAAAGACATGTAGTAATAAAAACGGTGATAATTAGGGCTGACAGAGGTGAAGGCAGCAACAGAGGCAGGGAAAAAGTTGGTGACAGGGGTCGGAGTCAACTTTAGGGCCAGGTGAAGACAATAACCAAGGGACTCACTGAAGAATAGTGTTAGGGTTAGACATTGAGAGCTGGACAGAGCTGGCCACAAGGGTGGACGATTGGGTCCTGGGCTGGGCCGTGGGCCCGAGGGGCGCGGTACAGCGGAGGCAGGAGGCGGGCTTTGCTCTGGGTCCCCAGGACAGTGGCGGCGGCCCCGCCCCTCCCGTCCCGCCCCCACCCCTCCCTCCCGGCTCCCTCCTTCTCCCTCTCCCCGGCGGTAATGAGGAGGGAGGAGACGGCGAAGGTTTTAAAAAGGATTTCTCCTTCGAGTCGGACAGCCAGTGACTAGGGTGGGGACCAGTCGGTAGGCCTGTCCCCCGTTTGCCCCCGGCCCGTCCGCCTCCTACTTTGTCGGCCCGTTCCCGGAGCTTGGAGTCTCGGCTCGGTAAGTGGAAGAGGGAGCGGTCGTCACTACTTTTCCCGGGACTGACTTCTTGGCGGGAGGAGCGGGCTACAGGCCGGGTCGGGCCAGGCCAAGGAGGCCCGGTGGGGCAAAGGTGGGTATGGGGGCGGGCGGGGGGTGGCTGTCCTGGGAAGGGTGTGGGCCCCCTGGAGGGCGGCGGGCAGGGAAAGGAAGGGCGATCTGTCCGGGGCGCCCTCGCCTGCTTTGGGCGCTCTCCCTAACCCTCCCGCCTCCGCCCCTGGCACGGTCCTCAGTCCCGGGCTGGCACCGAGACTGCGGGGGAGGAGGGCATGGGCGCGGGCGCCTGAAGCCAAGTCTCCCCCGTCTGGTCAGCGGGACAGGCGGCGTAGTCCGCCAGTCCTGGGACCCTGGCTGGGAGCCTGGAGACAGAAGAGACCCCGGCACGGTGCGTGCCCCTAGGAGTGCTTGGGGTTCTCCTGGGGGCCACCCAGGCGCCGGAAACACTGGTCCCCTCCCCCATCCACGGCCCCAACTCCTTTCAAGTTCTTTAAGGGCCGCCCCACCCAGCCGGGACTGGTTGTGAGAAGGGGCAGACGTTGCGCAAAAGCCTTGGGGCAGGAATCTGGGGGTGGGGGGATGTGCTCGTGAGGGTGTAGGGAGATTCCATCCTGGGTATTCCTCTGGGCTCCTCTGAGGACCCTGTGCGGGGCTAGGGGTGGAAGGGGGTGTCAGTGCTGTCCTGAGCATTCCCTCTCTCCTCCATTTCTAGCCGGAGCTCTCTCCCAACAGGACCCCTCCACAACCTGGAGCTGAGTCTATCTATGCTGTAATTGTGTCTGTTTGTCTGTCTGTCTGCGTACCTAGGCCACCAGGGGTCAGTAGGGGCTCAGGGAATTCTGGCTCAAGTACGGACTTGAGAGGGGCTTTAGAGGGAGGTGGCAGTGAATCTTGGGCCAAATTTCCCCTCATTCATCATGGACTTAAGACTCTGGATCAGTTATAGCTTGAGTGGGTATCTTGGGTTTTCCTGGGGTGGGAGTGGTAAAAATGCTCTCTGGCCATACCCAGCCAGGCCTTGGCTTGGGTGTGGTCTATCAAAGACCACCCATTGATACTTCCTCAGTCAACTTGACCCAAGTCCTCAACTACTAAGGGGTCAGGATTGAGAGCAATCTGCATAGCATCCCCCCCCCCTCCTGCCAGGGTTTGGGGTTGCACCCAGATGGACTATTACGTAGTTTCCCTCAACCCCACATGCCTGTGAAAACTTGTAGGAGGAAAAATTTCCTTTCAGGGTGTTGTGTAGTGATAAGAGCACTGGATTCGGAGTCAGGAGATCTGGATTTGAATCCCTGTTCTGACAGTAGCTGTCTGACCTTGACCTCAGAATCACTGAACTTCTCTGAGCTTGTTTCTCCATCTGCAAAGTGAGGATGAGAACACTTGTGCCACCTGTGTCCAAGTGCCATACAGAAGTATAGGGGTGTTGTCTCCCCTAACACCCCTAATCTGGGAATCTCTCTTGCCCCTTGACAGGCTGAGGACTCTCGTTCCCCTCTGCATGCGTCCTCTCTTGCAGGCATCTCTGTGGGGGCCAGGGATGTTCAGGGTTTAAGATGACACACCTGTGCTGTCAGGAACCTTGCTCCTCCCTCCTCCCTATCAAGGGAAGTGACTGGTTCAAGGTCATGAAGGAAGGCCCTGCCTCATGTGTCCAAGAAGATGACTCCACAGTCTGGAGCCCCAATACCAGCTTAGCCCTTGAGTACAGATAACAGAGAAGGGAGAGGGAAGAGGGTTGAGGCCAAGATTTCCATCCCCATGTGGTCCACTTATCTTCACACAGGGAAAAACTCTGATCCATGACCCTAAACTGATCTAACCTTGGCCCCAGACTGACTGCTAACCTTGGCACATGACAAATCCATCCTTGTTTAAAATAGGACCCTGGTGTGAGAATCTGGATGGCTCCATTCAGTACATCTCTCTAGGGGCCTCAGCTCCGAGCTAGTGTCCTGCTGGTGGGGGTGCTGGAAGACATTTGGGGGCAAGGGATTTAGCTGTGTCTATAGGAATAAATAACTCAGCTTTGGTTCTTGAGGCAGGGGTGGAGGCCCCCAGGTTGTCTTACCTCCTCTCCCCACCCCCAGGTCCCAAGTCCCCAGACTCCCCCCTCTGCCTATTCTCCCAGAAGGAAAAGCAACTTTTCCTGTCTGGGCTCTAAGGCAGGGGGAGGGTGCTGGGGCACCTCTCCTTGATTTAAAGACACAGCTTTCTGGATCCCACGCTGAGGATTCACATTCTTAGAAGTATATGGGCCTGGGATCCAGGCCCTGGCCTTCTTGCTTCCCCCTCTGCTGGCCCCCTTGAGGTTTGCTTTCCTCCCCAGCTGCCCTGCTCTCACCACACCCCCAACCCCCTGTTCAGAAGCTCCTGATTTACAGGGTCAGCCCTAGGGAAACTATGCCAGGCTCCTGACACACACAGGACACATACATGACTGGGCAAGTCCTCGGGGGTGGGGTCTGCATGGACCTAATTTCCTTGGGTGCACATTTCTCTGAACATTGACACTAAGATCGTCAACCTTAGGGGGCAGCTCTGGACACCTTGGGGCCCACCCGAAGCCTGTCACAACTGGAGACCAGATGTTCTGAGATGGATACAGCTGCAGTGCCCGCCCCCCCCCCCCCCCCAGCTTGTGGGTTAATTGGCTTCTTTGGTACAGGGAGTGGAGGAGGGGAGGCAGTCTACCCTTCCATCCACCCTGGGGGTAACAGATTTTTGTAGATCTCCAAGCTTGCTTTGAACAAAACCACACCCCAGAGCCTTTTCTAAATGTCTTCTAGAAAGCTGTTGGGATGGTGAACCCTCTCCCTTTATTGAACCCTTGTTGTGGCATGCACAAAAGGATGCTGGGTGGCAGAGAGCAGAGGCATTCCTCAGAGCAATCCCAGACCCAGTGTGCCCTGAACCTTATTCTTCACCAATGACTGTACTCCAGGCCCTCTCTTTCCCCCGAAGGTGAGGTGCTCTGGCCTGACTGGGAACCACTTACCATGAACCCCATCCCTCTGATATATGGCCTCTCTTTTCTCAGTTTGAATTTATCTTGATGCCCAGGCTTGGATTTGTCCTGAAGTCACTGTGTAATCTTGAGTGTACCTCTGAACTTTTCTGGTCTTGGGGTTCTCCACCTGTAAAGCAGAAAGTCCTCAGTAAGCTGATGGATGGGAAAGTGCATCGAGTGCCATCTTTGGTCTTCTTTATCCTTTCCAACCCAGGGTTTCCCCATGTTCCCTCTCAGCTTTGGGTCTTGAGGCAGGGGTCTGGAGGCCCCTAGGAGAAGCTAGCTGAATTCCTAATCTTCCTACAGTTGAAGATGGTGCTTCTGGAAATTGGGAATCCTAGGTAGTAGTCAGTGGAGGGAAGGCTTGGTGTCCCTGGGTGGAAGCAGAGGCTGAGGCCCTATGGACTCTAGGACCTTGGTTGGGGGCTATCACCCTAACATGATGCTGGGAGCTGATACCACCTTGAGTGTGGTCATTTCAAGGACTGGTCCAGGGCAACGATGGCATAAGATTCCTTAGGATGTCCGGACCTGGCACTGAGGCTTGGATGGTTCCCCCCAGCATGTAAATGTTGGTGGCATTTGGTCTTTAGGAAAACCTGTCCTTCCAGACAGAACTGGCCTTGGATTTCTGGGAGCTGCAGAGGAGATTTCCTGGTGGGAGGAGGCCCAAGGGATGGGGTCTTAGGGAATCAGGGTTCTGAGGAGGCTTATAGACCTGGTTTTAACTAGTGGCACAGGCCTAAGGAACTGCCCCACCCCAGGCTTGGATCTTAGAACCAGGTTCAAAAAGTTGTAATTCATGACTTAGGGAAAGGAGTAGGGTGTAGCTCTGGCTGCTTCTCGGGCTCAGGGAAATCCCCCCACAGCTCCTGCCCCGAAATTTGACTTGAAAGACAGGGAATGGGACCTTTACATGACAACAAAGCAAGTTATATGCTGGCCCTGAGATCTCCAGCTGTTTATCAGAGGCTGGGGTGGCAAAGAAGGGGTCAGAAGAAGTCGCTCTCCCCGGGGAATCAAATTTAGGCCTGTCCTGGGCTTATCTTAGTATGTAGGGATGAGGCATTGAAGATTTGTTCACTCTCCAAAGGGAACCTGGTTCTGTTGCCCCGCTAAGAGATCATGAGGGTGGAATAGATGGAGTGGAAACTGTGGCTTTGCTTGGTTTTCCTATTTATACAGTGATTCAGACTCCATGGTGACCCCCCCCCAACAACAACAACAAAAAAGAAAAAGACCCTATAGTAACTGTAGCCTGGGTACAAGCCAGCAGAGAGGCCCTCAGGAAAGCTGCCTTCTGTCTTTGACCCAGGCAGGTTTCCCTGTTGGGAGATCAACCATTTTGGCTCTCTCTACTCTCCAGCATGGCAGCCTTCTCCAGAGTAGCTGACCAGGCCCCACCTTGGGGGAGGAGGGGGCCACTGCTTCCCCAGCTGTCCAGTGGGAGGGAGGTTGAGGGGAATGATTTCCAGTTAAAGGCTCCATTCTAAAGGGAAGGGTAATGGTTGGGGAAATAGCCCCAGGAGGGTTCCCCTTGTGAGATCTGCTGTGTGGGCCCCAGCTCCTGCCTTGTGGTGTCTCTGCTGAGGATCTAAGCCCATTAGTCTGAAGCGTTAGTGACAGGCCTGGCCCTGTGGCCCAAGCCCAGGCAGCCAGGCTGAGGCAGGGTGGAGCCTGGATGGTCTGGTATTTTCCAATCCAGCCCAGGGAGTGGGTGGAAAGTATGTGGGGACAGGGCTTGGAAGCAGCGCTGGAAGCTGCCCCTGATTCATCCTTGGGAGCCCGAGTAGGGGGAACTCTGAATGTGCCTGGGTACATATCTGTCTTGTGGTTACTCCTGTGTCCTGCTTCCTCTCTTCAGACTTTCCTGGGAGCTTCACTTAAATTGTCCTCCATTCTAGACTGGGCCTGCCACCTCTGAGTCATTCTCGTACCCCTGCTCTGGGCCCCCCCCGCCTACTGGCTGGAAACAAGTGTCCTGTCCCTATCTCACTGGACCAGGGTCAAGGTCATCGAGGTCTAGTGGAGCAGGGCTTGCGGGGTAGGGAGCTTGGGAGGAGAAGGCCGTTTTGTCTGCTGGGACAGGGTGGGCCTTGGCCAGGTTCGTGGCTGTGTGCAGGGGAAACCCCACAGGAAACGGGCCGGGCCAGATGGCCGCCCTTCCCATTCTGTTCTGTTCCCCAGGACACCAATGTGCTGCCTCACTTCCGGAGGCAGCTTGGGGCAGGGCGGGTGCTGAGAGGCAGGAGGCAGGAAGCTGGGGGGTCTCTGTTTCCAGCCCATTCCTGGCTGGACTAAACTTTGCCCAGCTCCTTCAATAATCATCTTGAGAAAAGAAGTGTCCTGGGTTGTTGGTGTCTTCAGGTGAAGGGTAGAGGCTGCTGGGTATCTTTCCCCAAATACTAATCCTCCTTGGGGTTGTATCGTTCCCGCACCCAAGGACCTGTTGCTTCTTGGTCTCTGGGGCTGCCCTTAAGGGTGCCCTACTGGCTTTAGGCATAGCTAGCTAAACCCATAGGCAAGGAGAGGACTCAGTTGGATATGTTAGAAAAGGAGTACCATTGAATAAGAATCTCCCCAAAAGGCCCGGGCTCCACCTGGGAGAGGGTTAAGGCCCAGCTGTGGGGCCATGACAGAAGCTGGGGGGAGGCCCTGGTGGTTTCCTCCTCCTCTTTGGGCTTCTAGGAAACGGCGCCAGCTGGTGTGAGATCACTTCCTCACCCTGCCTGCCTGCCGCCCAATTTCTCTTCCTCTCTCCATAGCCCTGTTTGGCCTGCCCAGCTGGACAGGGAGAATATGCCTTCCTTCTGCTGGGGATCTCTACCCATTGGGGTTGGGGGCCAGGATCTCAGGGGAGAGTGGAAGGGAAAGTTGGTATCCAGGACTCTGGGAATCCTGGGTTCTTCTAGTCTCCCAAGGCATGCCCCCTCCCCTGCCCCACCATTACCAGAGGTCAGTAGTTTTCTGTTCTTTCCACCAGCTTGCTTCTGCATATCTGATTTTCTTTTCCTGCAGAGGGGGAGCTGCATCCAGATGTGTACCTCTGGAAGAATTCCTTGGCCCTGCTTGGCATCTTGGATTACTAGAACTAGAGGGACTTCCCACCCCTAACTGCCCAAGCTCCTGCCTGGGGAAAGGGTTGCATCCCAGATTGGGGGCTGGGATATTTGGGCTGGCAGAGAGCATTCCCTCTGGGCCCAAGAGGGAAAGATCACAGGATCACAGAGCTATAGCTGGAAGGGCCCTTAGAAGGCCTCTGGGCTAATCCTCTAATTTTACAGAGGAGGAAACAGGAGCCCAGAGAGGCTAGGGTGGGTGGGAGGAAGGCTGATACTGCCCTGGATTATGGGGATCTGAGTGAGCCGTTGATACTTTTTTCCTTCTTTTTCATTACCTTTGTTCTCTTCTCCCTAGGTGTGAGCTTCCTCGACAGTCCTGGACCCAGCACCCCTGAGCCTTGGCCGGCTGGGGTTCCTGGGGATGGGATTTGATTACTGCCACAAATCACATTGCCAGGGATTTCCAACTGACCACTGGCCCTGCTGCTGGAGCTGCTAGGTCCACTCCTAGCGTGTGCGCGTGGGTGCATATTTGTGGGGCGATGGAGCCCAAAGGAGTGGGCCCCCCGGCCCAGCCTGGCCTGAGGAGCAGGACTTAGCTGCCTTGTGAACAGAGTCAGCATTCTATTGTGTTCACAGTGGCTAAGTTCCGCCCCCCTTGCCCCCCTACCCTTGGCCACCTTGCTCTTCATCCAGTCTGTCTCACTGGGCTCTGCCTCCTGTGCCTACTGAGCTGAAACACAGTTGCTTTGGATAAACTGGCTCAGTTCAGCAGGAACAGGAGTCTGGCCCTCTCCTAGAGACTGCCCTATGAGCTGAGAGCGTGGGAGGCTGGAAGGGCCCCCAGGGCCCTTGGTGAGATGGAGGGGCTGCCTCCAACTACTGCCAGCGGTGCTGACTTTCTAGCTTTATGTCTCCAGTGTCCAAAGGGATCTGAGGACTGCCTTGGCAGCTTCATGGCCTTGCAGTGAGAGCCCAGGGACCAGAAGACTTTTGGCTAGAGCTAAAGGGATGCAGAGACCTACTGAACCTAATGTATGATGTACATTCTGTGCACAATTTCAGCAAGCTCAAATTATGTCTTCCTAATTCCAACTCTCCCAATTTAGACGAGAGACACTTATCCTGGCCTTTCCCCTAAGCCACAAGGAATAGCAAAGGGACACTTCCTGCCTTAGTGTCTTCCTTTCCACCCCAAACCCTAGGCCTAGTACCCATCCTTGTTTCCCTGCTTGGGGTTGGCAAGTTACTCAAGATGAAATGACTCCAGACCCCTGCCCCAAGACCATTACGTGCCAACCTTGGGCTTCCAGAGTGAGGCTGTCCTAACCCAAATGGCCCTCCAGTTTCATGGACTCTGTGGAGTCTCCCCCAGAGCAGAAGTCCTGTATGAGGCTGGAGATCAGGGGCCCATTACTTTCTTCTCCTCTTAGAGTATCTGCTGATGAGGCCCAGTGCTTCTCTCCTGAACCCTCCCCTCCCAAGGCATCCCCACCAGCTTTGCCCTCTAGGGAAAGGGGAAGGTACAGACTGTGCTCCTGGGGGTAAAGGAAGAGTGTTTACAAAAGCTTCTCTCTTTACGTTACTCCCAAGCTCAAAGAGCTACAGCCCCATGGAGGCTGGGATTGATTCCTGCAGCCCCAACTGCTGTATTGTCCCTGCCACTTCCTATGGAGGATGTATTTCTGACTCTCTACTATCTCCATCCTTGAAGTGCATGTGTCATAGTAGCTGAAGTACCTTCCTCTACTCTGGGTGTGTATATGGGACAAAGGCAGGAAGGAGCCTGGGCCATTCTTCTCCAGCAAGTGGCTCCTGTTCTAAGAGATGGGCTATTCTACCTCTATATAAATTAGGATTTAGACCATAATTACTGGACTAGGGAGTCTGGGATGCCAGCTGAGCCTCCTGAGTGAGCCATAATTCCCATCCAAGGATACAGGAGGGGCTAAAAATCTAGGAGGGAAATTGAGGAATGAATGAACCTTCGGTTACTTTAGGGCTCAACAACTAACATACAGACACACAGGCAGGAAAGGGGAATGATGTATCTCTGCTCTAAACCCAAGGTCCAATTAAAGTTTACTCAAGCTCAGGCCCGACACCTCAGGAAGGTTTTGCTTCTGTTCTTCCTTTGAATTCTGGGTCCCTTCGTACTGAGCTGGGTCTCATTCTCCCTTCAGACATGCCCTTGGTGGGATGGGGGGACTGAGAGATTGAAGGCACTGGGGGACATGGAATCTGGGGAGCTGCATGATATGAGGGGACCAGGGGATGGAAGGAGCTGGTGGATTGAGGGGGCTGGGACAGGTAAGGGATTAAAGAATTGAAGGAATAAGGGAGATAAGAAAGGATGGGGAAGGAATTTGGAGGAAATGGGAGGACCTAGTATTTGCAGGGATAAGGCATGAGGCTGAGGAGGATGGAGAAGTGTACTGAGGGACGCAGAGGAGTTTGCTGTTGAGGGGTGGGTGGGTGTTGAGGGGATGTGAGGGAGAAGGGATGTGGGGGACAGGTGGAAGATGGGGGCCTGAGAGATTGAGATAGAAGGGATGTGGGAGGCAGGTAATAGAGGGGGGCACAGATGATAGAGGAAATGCAGGGGGATGGCAGTTGAGATGTAGGGGACAGGTGATAGAAGGATGTGGGCAGCAGGCCATTGAGGAGATGGGGGCTGGCGATTGAGGAGACGGTGGGGGCAGGTGATAGAGGAGATGTGGGAGACAGGTGATAGAAGGGATATGGAGGATAGGTGACAGAGGGGATGGAGGGACAGGTGGATGGAGAGGATGGGGGGCAGGTGACGGGATGGGGGCAGGTGATAGAGGGGCGAAGGGATGGGGGCAGGTGACAGGGGGGATGGGGGGCAGATGATAGAAGGGTTGGGGGGCAGGCGCTCTCCAGCCCCGCCCTCGCACTAGGGGAAAGCGCCGACGCCGGGGCGAGCCCTACCTGCAGCCAGGCGCTCCCACAGCGGCTCGCGGAGGAGGCGGCCTCCGCTTTCGGCCCTGACGGACGGCTCGGCGGGCCAATGGCAGCGCGGCCCGCGCCGTGCCCCGCCTCGCCCGAAGATGTGGCGGCGGCCGCCGCCTTTGCGATCACGGTGTCAGCGCGCCCTCTGGCGGCTTCTCACGAAAGGCTCACTGACGAGATTCACCCTGGCGGCCGCGCGCGCACCTACGTGTCCATCTCATGTTATCCCGTGACACAGCACCCTCTCCTCGTTGTGCACCCCTAATACTCACACTTACACAGCGCCCCCTGGCGACCACGTGCCCAAAGACAAACAGAGTCAGCCCCTAGCGCACCTCTGCGCTTCCCACTGCAGTCGGCTTGGTGCCCAGTGGACTCAGGCCTTTGGGTCCAGTTGACTCTGCTCCCTAAAGGTTGGCGGGTGGGGTGTCATAAACACTGACTTTCTGGAAGCCCAGCCCAACACCTCCTCTACATGTCCCACGAATTTCCACAGGCCCAGCACACAGGCCCCATCCTTGGAAGAGAGGTTCTTCTGTTAAACTAAGGTGGGGAATCTGCAGCCTCAAGGCCACATGTGGCCCTCTAGGCCCTCAAGTGCAGCCCTTTGACTGAATCCAAACTTCACAGAATAAACCCCCTTAATAACAGGATTTGTTCTGTAAAACTTGCACCCACTCAAAAGGCTGCGCTCTAGGACCTAGAAGGCCACATGTAGCCTCAAGGCTGCAGGTTCCCCACTCCTGTTAAGTTAAACCATTTCTTGTTAGGAGGCAAGACGTGGAGTTTAGCTTACTAGACTGAGCTACTACTCCAAATGGACCATGGACCCTGTCCTGCCATCTTGTTCATGCCTGGTACCATGGCACCAATTGGGATGGAATATGGGCTAATCTTACCACCTTCTGCCTCCCCCCTCCCCAGAGTATTGTGTTCAGTTTAGGGCCACATTTTACGAAGAGCATTGATAATAGAGGTGGAATTGAGATAACTAATACAGTGAAAAGCCTTGAGATTATTCCACTTAAGAGAACTGGCCATGTTCAGTATGGAGAAGACTTAGGGGTAGGTGGACAGAAATTGACAGTCATCCTGTGGAAGAGATTCAATTTAGTCTGCTTGGCCTTCAAGGGCATAACCAGGAATGAGTACAAAGTTGTAGGGAAGCAGAATTTGGTTTAACATGGATAAAATGCCTAATAACTCTGAGTTGGAATAGGCCATCTTGGGCATCTTCAAAGAGAAGGTTGGAATATCACGAGTCAGGGCCAAAGTGGGAGTGGATGACTTTGGAGCCCTCTGGGGTGGATACATCTGACCTAGAGAGCAGGCTGGCCAGACTACTCAGCCTGTCTTCTCCATCTCTTCCATCCCCAGCGGTGATCTGAACATTACCAGCAAGCCTCCAAAAACCAGGATGCACCAGGAGCTTCACCTATCAAATTCCCAACCTTACCCAAATGCTCCTGATCGCTTTCTATGTGCTTCCTCCTCCCCAAACAGTACTTAACAATTCAACAGCCCCTACTTTACTGTCAGTGGTGGGAGAAACCCACTCCTTTACTTTGGAATGGCTCTGATTATCAGCAAGTTTTCCCTTATACCTCTTATGACTCTCTGCAACCTAGTTTACTCTCTGAAGCCGTGAGCAGATCCTCATGATGGATCTTCAAATATTTGATACTCACCTTGTCTCCCCCCTCCCAGAGTTCCCCAGCTTAAGATGCCCCTATTCCTTCAACTGCTCCTTCTATGGTATTCTCTCCTCATTCTGGTATCCTTCATAGGGTCTTAAGATTTATAGTGAGAAGGAACTTTAGAAATCATCCACTCCAAAACCACTGTTACAGAGAAAGAAACCAAGCGCTAGAATGTTAGCCCTGATACTCCTTGCAAACTCCAACTCCAGGGCCCATGTTCTGGCAACCTCCACCAGCCTACCTCCACTGAAGTATTTCAGCTTGTATATGTCCTTCCCAGAAGGTAGTGCCCCAAACAGAATTCAGTACTCCAAAGGTGGCCGACTAGAAGGGGACAGGTTGACCATCACTTCCCTTGTTACACAGTCCAAGATGGCATGAGCTCTTTGGGTTGCCTATGATTAGGGACTCACATTGAACTTGTTCTCACAATTTTTTTTATATGAATTATCTGCTACATAGCCAGCACTCACCCTCCAGAGGCACATCTACTCCCTTTCCCCAGCACTTGCTCCTAACTCCCCAAAAAAACAAAAAACAAAACCCCCAAACCATTGTTTATGTCTGATCTTTAAAAAAAAGGAAAAATACAATAAACGGTTCAATAAATAGAAAAAAATTACAAAATTACATGATCTTTCCTCTTAATATATAAGAAAAGGTGAGGTGAGTTGGGTACATGCGGAGGTAGGGGGTCTGGCTGTGCAGCTGCCTTGGCCCCTTCTCCTGCCACATGGACAGACAACAGATGGAGGGACTCACAAGGGGGCAAACACAACAAAAACACGCCCCAGTTAAGGAGAACACTTGGGGGGAAGGAGAGGGGGAGAATGCCACATGACTGGAGGTTTTTCTTCCCGTATATATTAAGAATATGGGGCCAGGGAGGGAGTTTCCTGTCTGACATCTGTCTTCCCAAAAATCGATTTAAGCAAGAGCCCTTAAGCTCTGCTTGTGTTCCTGAGTTGAGGTTGTCCAGTGATGGGCAGGTTGGGGTGGGGGTCAGTTGGGACTAAGTTGTCTCAGTCCTCTCCAGGGATGGGAGCTGCAGCAAGGAGCCCCCCCCCTGGAAAGCCTCCCTTTCCCAAAGGCAAGATAGGGGACAATGGTCCACGGAAGTCCCCATGGCCTGGGCGTTATACCTCACCTCCCCTGGTTCTGCCTGGGGCCCTGGGGTCCCCAGGTAGGAAAGGGGAGCACACTCCCACTCACTGCTCAGCCATGGGGACTTGGTGGAGGAGGACACTCCCCTCCTCACAAAGTCAACAAGAATTCTTCACTGGGCAGGGGTAGGGGCGGGTATTTCTGGAGGGAGGGGCAAGCCAAAGGATACTGGCTCTTCCTCTTCTCCCCCAGGGGCACAGACACATGGGACAGGCCCATAATTCCACTGGAAGAGTTAGAGGTGGAGAGATTCTAGGTCTGGGCCAAGGAAGATGTGTAGGTATGTTAGGGATATGGGGAGAGAGGATTGGGGTGGGGGGGTAAAGTTCACATGCCATTTATGGATAATTAAAGACCTCAAGCCCAAGGTTGCTGGGTCTGCTACATTTCCTTCAAGATCTGGTTCAAAGGGGAAAGCTGGCATGCAGGGCTACCCCCACCCTAGCTAGTCCTAGAGGGTCCAAGAAGCCCAGCCTCCAGTCTGAGATGTGCCCTAGGTAACAACTGAGGGGTTTTCCTAATAGCCCTTTCCCTTGGCCCCCTCAGCTGTCCTGGTCTTGGGGTCGAGCCTTGGGAGGCTGGGGTATGGCTTCTCATCCTAGGGTCCTTGCCCACATGCATGTAATGCATACACATGCTGGAACCCCTGGAGGTGAAGTGGCTGTTGGGGGGTGGGGGAGAAGGAGAGGGCAGGACTCCTTAGCCCTCACTGACTTCATGCCCAGTGACCATCCCCCCCTTCTAATCCTTCAAAACCGCTCCAGACGGTTTCTAACCTAATACTGAAATGCTGATTGCATGGGGAGGTGTGCAAGCCCCTGCCATATAAATTAAACACTCAAATCTTCATCTTGCGCCTGGGGCCCAGCCCGGCTAGGGGAGGGGAGAAGTGGAAAGTGGCTCTCGGGGGAAGGCGATTTCCCTCCCCAGGCACCGGCAGCCCCTCAGCCAAAGCGCTCCCGGACCAGAAGCATAAGCTTTTTCTTTCCTTTGTAGGTCTGTTTGAGGTTGTCAAGGAATTGGGCAAACTGCAAGTGGCCATCAGGAGCCAGCAGGAAGGTCTCCCGCGCTTTGCCCAGGAACTCGATAAACTCGCCATAGTGTCGGGGGCTGATGTGTGTTAGTCGAGAGTGGGTGGTGGTGACGTAGGCGGCCACAGCTGCATCGAGCAGCTGGCAGAGGGGGGCCCGGTCTGTGGCCAGGGGCTTGGTGGTGCCGGCACCTCGGCGACCACCCAGAGGGCCGAGGCCGGGAGAGC